ACTCTTAAACTCAGCTGCTTATCTGAATACAAATGCATTAAACTCTAGGTGAGAACCACTTAGCTAAGTCCAGGCAAGCCAGAGAAACATGAGAAATACTATAGTTTTAAGCCACTATATCTGGAGTGATTTGTTACACAGCAATAGGTAACTTGGACAAGGCATTTTTTAAATGTTTCCTTAATTTTATCCAATTTTATTAGCAACACATACCTGAAGACTTTTTTTCTTTCACCTCTATAAATGAGTGTATTTGCACATAAAAAAGTTCATAATAAAGTATAATGTTAGACTTATGAAAAAAATTTGATGTACTGGCTTTATTTTCCAACTGTCTTATCCAAAAGCCATTATAATTCTTTTTCATTATGTCCACATTTTTTATTTGTATTCTCTCAGAGATTTGCTCCTGTCACCCAGGATAGAGTGCAATGGTGCAACCTCAGCTCACTGCAATCTCTGCCTCCTGGGTTCAAGAGATTCTCCTGCCTCAGCCTCCCAAGTAGCTGGGATTACAGGCATGTGCCACCACACCCCGCTAATTTTGTGTTTTTAGTAGAAACGAAATTTCACCATGTTGGCCATTCTCGAACTCCTGACCTCAGGTAATCTGTCCAAGTGCTGGCATTACGGGCGTGAGCCACCGCACCCGGCCATGTCCACGTTAATAAACGAATGTCCATAATGATTAATAAAGTTCAAGTAAATATATTAAAAAATGAAATGCTAAAAAAAGGCATCTTTAAAACATTATAGTTTTTCTTATACCTTGTTTTGTAAAAAAAATACATGCATATGTGCAAAATTTCATTAATGACAGGTGTACTTTTTTTTTTTTTTTTTTACTACTACAGGATCTTTACTAATATTAAATTTGCATCCAACGTATCACAAGAAAAGGAATACATATTTCAAGGCAGCCATATCAACATGATAAAGACATAATACAATCGATATTATGTCTATCTTACTGGTCCAGGGATATGTTGTAACGAGAAACTACTCAAATCCATCATGAATGACATTCACCCAACGAATCTTAAACAGAATCGGCTGAAATGTAAAATCTGCTTACAAAGCAAAGCCGCAGCAGAACAAGCCTAAAACAGGAATACTTCCTTAACAAATACCACTTGGCATTTTTAACAGCTGCAGCAGGATATTAACAAAACTAGGAATGCTTTGCAGATTCAGAAAAGGTAACATCCTTTAGATATAAATCCCTTTCATCTGAAACCCTCAGATCTCTCAACAAATACTAAATTCCTTAGGCTCTGCAACACCGCCGTGTCAGGTAAATATTTTGTTAGTGATTAAGTGACTTGTTCAAGGTCACAGAAGGAACCGGAGGCAAGAAATAAACCCAGGAGGGTGATCTGTAGCTTTATATATAAATGCATATCACTGCAAGTAAGGATTCTGATAATTTCCAAGGTGGAGTGCCAGTGAAATTAACTTGTCCCACAACTCTAGGATGGAAGGCACTTTTTGGGGGGGTGGATGAAAAAAGCTTCTACAGTTTTAACTCTGATAACCTTATAGGGTCTTTAAACACATACTTAAACTTCACTAAAATCAAGTGTGACTGGGGAAGAGGAGAAAACTGGGAAACAGTTTGAGGAGCTGTAGTAAGGCCTTGGATTGTAAGCAGATGGCAGAAAATTTTTAAAACGGAAGCAGAGGAAAGAGGTCAAAGTCGGGTGTAAGTGACCAAGAGAAGGGAAGAATGGTCAAAGCCACCTTTTAAAACCGAAAAACCACACGAAACTCGCTGGGCAACCCCAGGTGAGTGGCGTAAAAGACTCAAGGTTGGGCCCTTCCTCTTCACAAGCCGGTTCTACCTTTTGGAGTTGTCCCACCCCTCTCCGAGGACAGGGCTTGTCTCCCGGGTGACCAGCAGCTGGTAGGAGACGGGGTTCGCACCGGACGACTTCCCAGAGAACACATACCAGGGCCCAAGACTCGCACTCACCGAGGCGCCAGGCGCGCTTCACTAACGCCAACCTTCTTGCCAGAGGCCCATCTCCCAGGAACTCAAGGGAGAATTAGCCTCGGCTACCCGGACGGAAGCCAGCCCAGCTCATCCCCTTTTCCCGATTTGCATTGCGTGGCGGCGCGTCGCGTCTCCAGACGTCACGGCAGGGGCGGGGCTTCGCGTGCGCTCTCTTGTTACTCTATTTACACCGCCCTGTCCCTTTCAGTGAGGACGGCGCGGAGGGGCGAGGGAGGATCGAGGAGGACCTTATGGGTGGGCGGTGGTGGCAGGGGCGGGGTTTCTCTGAGCCAGGTCACGTTAGTTGGCCGATCCCTTACTCTCCGCACCTAACCCTGCATTTCTGGGTTGCAGCCCGGCGGCAGCCAGGCAACCCTGATGTTGCTTCGCCTTGTAGAAGAAGCGAGGTTGCTCTTGCGTCCTTTTGCTACGTATTTTCCTCCTCAGATTGGAAATAGAAAAAACGTAAAAGGGGATTTAACTCCCCTCTATTTCTGGCTAAACATTCTCTGAAGCAAAGCCTTTGGTCAAAGAAAAATAGGCATTATCCTAAAACACATTTTATGTACAATTTTTAACGTCACTTAAAAGGCCCCGTCTAGGCCGGGCGCTGTGGCTCACGCCTGTAATCCCAACACTTTGGGAGGCCGAGGCGGGTGGATCACCTGAGGTCAGGAGTTCGAGACCAGCCTGACAGACATGAAGAAACCCCGTGTCTCTACTAAAAATACAAAATTAGCCGGGCATGGTAGCACATGCCTGTAATCCCAGCTACTTGGGAAGCTGAGGCAGGAGAATCGCTTAAACCCAGGAGGCAGAGGTTGCAGAGAGCCAAGATCCGGCCACTGCACTCCAGCCTGGTGACAGAGCAAGACTCCCATCTTAAAAAAAAAAAAACGAAGAAAGAAAAATTAGCCAGCCCCGGTTCGGTGCACTTGTCATCCCAGCTCTTCAGGAGGCTGAGGCCAGGAGATCACCCAATCCCAGGAGGCTGAAGCTGCAATGAACCATAATTGTGCCACTATACTCCAGCCTAGGCCAGAGAACAAGACCCTGTCTCAAACAAATGAACGAATAAAGAGGCAAACAATACTTCACATATAGTATGTAGTCGTCTTAAAATACATGGCAATTTCGCTTCCATTACGATGAAATACATGCAAAACATTATTGTAGTTATTTTATACTTAAGCTATACACTATTTGCTTCCCCAAAACATGTAACACTGATATACTAAATGTAATACCTCAAGCTATTAAATAAATAGGAAGTCTTAACGTTTTTCATAACTAAGGAAAAACTTGTATCTTTCTCTTTTTTTTTTTTTTTTTTTTTTTTTTTTTTTTTTTTTTTTTTTTTTTTTTTTTTTTTTTTTTTTTTTTTTTTTTT